GCCATAGGGTATAATGGGGAATTAATGAAATATCTATAACTTTATTGTTTTTTGTCTGATTTGAATGAAACTTGCAGGAGTGATAGCTTCTGCTTAGAGCATGAAGCTTATCAAGTTTCAAGAAGATCGGTGCAAGATGGGGTTTGGGGAAACTGTAACCCAAATTCTTGAAAGCAAAACTCATGTCACGTGTATGTGTTACACCACAGGGGGGTAGCCTCTGCTCAGCCCACAAAGCCTCCTGATTTTCAAGATAGGTGCAGGGGTTTAGGGAGATCTGCACTGCAAGCTGTTGACAGGCAAAACTCGTGACATAGGTGACACTGTGTGTTAAGGCGCAGCAGGGTGAAAGCTGCAGGGGTGGTAGCCGCTGCTGCGGCCACAATGCCCCAGGTGTCAAGGAGATCGGTGCAGGGGGGGTTTGGGGCCCTGCACCTCTACCTGCTGGCAGGCAAAACTCGTGACACGGGTGCTTGTGGGACTGACTGTGTCTGTCTTGGAGCCAGGGGTGAGGGGGAGAGACACTACTGCAGGCCTGGCTGCTAAACTACTGTGTTACCAGTTACCAATCAATCATGATTTACTCAGGGACCAGCTCAATACACAGTAGCTAGCTAATGTAGCCAGTTAATTAGCAACAATTAACACCTAGAAAACCAGAAACTAAGGAGAGGAAATAATCAATACAGACAGTCAACTGCCCCAAGACAGAGACAGTCAGTTGCACAAGCACCCATGGCACAAGTTTTGCCTGTCAGGAGCTAGAGGTGCAGGGCTCCAGAAGCCAGAAGCCCTGCACCTATCTCCTTGAGAGCTGGCAGGCTTCATGGCTGCAGCAGGGGTCACCATCCCTGCAGCTTTCACCCTCCTGCGTCTTAATTCACACAGTGTCACCCATGTCATGAGTTTTGCTTGTCCGCAGCTTGAGGTGCAGTTCCTCCCAAACCCCTACACTTATCTCCTTGAAACTTGGCAGGCTTTGCGGCCTCACCAGGGGCTACTATCCCTGCAGTTTTCACCCCACTGTGTTGTAACATATGTACATGTGACATGAGTTTTGCTTTTAGGAATTTGGGGTGCAGTTCCTCCCGAACCCCTGCAACAATCTTCTTGAAACTTGGCAGACTGCATGCTCTCAGCAGAAGCTACCATCCCTGCAAATTTGATCCAAATCAGACAAAAAAACAACAAAGGTATAGAAATTTCATTGATTCCCCATTATATTCTATGGCCGAATCGGCTCCAAATCTTTTCCAAAGCGATTCGGAAGCTCTGAATTGATTTGGAAAGCCTAAAGCTTCCAGCGATTTGATTCAGATTCATACATTCAGCCTCCAATTCATCCAATTCATCTCCAAATCCAAATCATGATCCGAAGCTTTGCACAGCCCTATTAGTTAGGGACGATCCCACCTTGATCAGGAATGACCTCATAAGGTCCATCCAACCCTACTTTCCTATGATCCTTAATAATCACCCTTCAAGAATTTGAAGTTAGTTCTGAAATCCCCCCCCCTCAGTCTTCACTTCTCCAGACTATATAATCCCAGTTCTTCCAATCTTTACTCATAAATCATGTTTCATAGACCTCTAATCAATTTTGTGGTGCTCTGCTGGACCCTTTCAAATTTGCCCCTGTCTCCCTGGAAGTGCAGTGCTGAAAACTGGACACAGTATTAGAGATGAAGCCATACCAGTGCTGAATGGAGTAGAAAAAATCACTTTCCTTGGCTTTCAAGCAAGTCCTATCAACACAGCATAATATGCTATATGGTTTGTTTGTTGGTTTTTTCCTCCCAAAAAGAGCAGTGTTAACGCATATTCAGTTTATTGCCCACTGTAACCCCCAGACCCTTTTCTGCAGTACTACAGCCTAATAAGTCATTCCTCCTTGTGTATGTTATTTTTCCACCCCAAGTGCAGGACTTTGCATTTGTCTTAATTGAATTTTATTCCATTAATTTTGGACCATTTCACTAGTTTATCAAGGTCACCCTAAATCCAAATCCTACCCTCCAGAATGTCTGCAGCTCCGCCCAGCTTGGTGTCATCTGCAAATATGCTGGACACAGTAATCTGTGTCCAAAAAAACTGTACACAGTACCCTAGATCTGGGCCAACCAGTGCTGAACAGAGAGGAAGAATTCCCTCGGTCTGCTGGCAATGTTCCTACTAATGCAGCCCAGTATGTCATTAGCCTTCTTCATAACAAGGGCACACTGTAGACCCATGTTCAGCTTACTGTGTCTCAGATTGCCAAAAAGGTCCTGATCAAAGATGGGCTGTTGTCATCTTTCCAAAGACCAAAAGGTCCCAGGTTTAAGGTAGCACCCCTCCTCCTCCTGCTGCCACCTACTAGAAATCCCTTCTCCCTTCTTTACCTGCTGATGCTGAGCAAATTTACATTGAAAAAAATTGTAATTGCAGCCAAGGCAAACTCCCAACCACACTCCCCTGTCAGCTGGCCTGGTGCCACTTACTGTTCTCAAGCTGACTTTACTTTGGTTCCAGCCTATGCTCCGGGGAAATCTGGAGAGAAAAACTTTTAAAAGGATGTGAATAAATCTAATATTATGAAAATATTTCTTGATATACTCATTACACCAAGCTAATTTTTATACTTCCTGGCTCTTTTAAGCTATATACATTTATCTTTATATTTTAAATAATATTTTTTGGTCAAGTAAAATCTTAGAAGTAATGCATTTATCGTAACAACTAGGCTAAGGACAGAAGTTACATGTAAACTGGTTTAAGTCATCAGAAACTGGTTTAAACCTGTAACCGAACAGAAGTTCTGTGCACATAAGCCAGTTCCAAAGTGGCTAAAACTAGTTTAAAATAAACCTGGTTGAATATATTATCTGACTTAACTGATTTGAGTCATAGAATCATAGAATCATAGAATCAAACTGGTCAAACTGGTCATAGAGTCAAACTGGTTTATGAAACTTCTGTCCCAGACCCCTTCTTGGATCAAGTTAAATCACAGTACCCCAGCATCCTAGCATGCTTTCCAGCCCTGGGCTGGGCTGGATGGTATGCTCCAGCAGAGAAGGGTTGGGGGGGGGGAAAGGAGAGACTTCCCCCTGCCAGGCAAACCCCAGCTCTGGCCTGGTTAAACACCCCCTTCGCACACAAAGCTGCCCTGCCCTGCCAAACTTACTGCTGGCTGTGACTGTGGACTAGATATCCCAGAGGCACCTGGAAGCAGGAAGAGTAAGTGATGAGCAACCCTGCAGAGTCCCGCTGCTGTGATTGTGGACTGCAAATCCCAGAGACCTTGGGGACAGCAGGAACAGGAAGTGAACACACAGCCAGAGAGCCATGCACTAGCACTTGGTTTAATGACCTAGTACTCTGCATATTACTTCTGACCTGAGCCACTGCAGGCATGTGGCTGCATTTTCCTGAATCAAAAGTAAATGTCTGCTTACTTGTTAGTCAGTTTAATCTCTGCAGTTTAGACTAACCTGCAAAGACTGAATCAATTCAGCTTTGGGCTTTTTGATGGGCTGTTCTTAGCTCTAGGGTTCGGTATTTGATCAGTCAAATAAAGCTCAGTCAATAGATCAGTCAAATATTGGTCAAAAATTGTAAAAACAACTACCAATAAGCCCAAATAATATACAGAAAAAGCACAAATGTTCCATTAAGAAATGTGTCAAAAAAAAATAAAAAATCATATTTCTGTAAAAAAAATCTCCAAAATTGTAGTTTTTCTTGTAAAAATGCTATAATCCTTGACCAGTCAAAAACTATGCAGTCACTTAACCAGTCATTGAAAATATTTGACCAGTCAATTAACTGGTTTGCTAACCCTAGTAACAACAAAGATTCTGGATCACTACATGTAATGTGACACATCCTGAAAGTGTGGATTATAATGAACACAGGCAGTTTACATACCTCTTACAGGATTTTTTTGTAAGTGATCCTTTAAAATTTAAAAAAACTTGTCTAATATAACAGGACCTCTCTTTATCTTGGAGATATATATATACTTGACTCCATTAACATGATATCTGAATACTTCTCAGTCCTAATATGCTTACCTAATCCGGTAGAAAAGGGTCTGTTTTACAGAACGGAAACCAAGGCATTATTAGAGAGACTAAGGGCAAGATCTTCCAAGACATTTAAATATGGGATTCTTATTAACTTAGGCACTTCAGTGGGTGTTACATGCCTAAATACATCACAGCTTAAGTGATTCATCCAGGGTCATACAGAAAGACTGCTGTAGAAGCAGCTCTCCCACATCCCAGCTTCGCATCCTCACTACTGAATCTTCCTTTCCATTAGAATTGTTTGGTATATTCCATATTATTCCATATGCCAACCTACTATACAGCTAGGTTTAGACTAACATAGAGTGCTCATAGACAGAGTGACTGAGCTCGGCTAAACTGGGGCAACATTATGCTTTTTGTAATACCCAAGCAACTTTGGGCCAGACCCTATTCAGTGCCTAATTAGATCCCTCAGGGTGACCTTTTCTTGCTCCGATCCCCAAAGAAGCATTAACTCACCTGCTTTTGTAACATATCATCATGTTAGTTTTAAGATGAAATCACAGGAAATAGCAAGAAAGAGAACAATCTGTATAAACTGTTTTCCAGGGATCCAAGCAGAAATCAACTTAGATCTCGCTAAGGTGCCTAATAGGTGGAGTAGGAGCTGGCCTTTTAAATATACGCCAGCTCTTCATCTGGGCCAAATTCAAGGAATTTAGGTAACCTAGTCATTTTTATTAGGAATTTATGAGGGTTTCCTTGGTTATCCTATGTGTGTCCTACTTGTGTTTTCAGTACCCTCATGCACATCTAATTTACTACTTCTGCCAATTTCTGCTGAGTGAGAAATTTTTAAATCCTTGCCATCTTATACAAGACCCAGTTTTGAGCTCTACACACACAGTAATTTACTGGCCTCATTCCCAGTGGCTATTCTACCATGTTAAAATATTTTCCTTCTATAGAAAGATGATTCGGTTCGTATATGCATGTTCTTACATTTATAAGCAGGTTTCCTCCTATGAATCAGAACCCCCTGAAATGCAATAAAAAGGGGGAAATGTGGCAGATGGCACATAGAAAAAAACAATATTGCAGAACAATGAAGAATTTTGATCAAATGCAGCAGGTCAAATCTCTGCTCTTACAGTGTAATGAGACCCATTAAGCACAGGACTAAATAGAAATTAGACCCTAATGCGTATGGCACAGCATAGGTAAGGTACTGTGTGACCAGATAGAAGTGCAATTGAAAAAATTATCCTGGATGTATTCATGTAGGGAGTTTTCTCATATGAAGCATCTTTTAAAGGAGGATCTGTGCTATCTTATTGCCTGAGGAGAATTTATTTCAATGTAACAGCTTCTGAAAGAATCATAATCCCTTCCTTTAAGTTCATAGCTGTGAAACCTTTGAAGCACCTGAGATCTAGTTCTTTTGCATATGGTTGAGCATATTTTTTATCCTTGAATCTTTCTTTAGGCATGTAGATGAGCAGATCTGTCACCAAATGTACAAAGGCTGATATAATTACCTTTCCAGTATCCAAGTATATTGCTGCTAAATATGTTTACTGCTAGTAGGGATGACACACGTGAGTTCAAGTTTTCTCATAGTAGGATTGACACGTATGAGTTTCAGTTCTTATGTTCTGTGGACAACTCTTACAACTTTTCTTAATAAAAGAAGTAGAACTACTTTATCACTTGGTTGCTACCTAACATGAAATTACGGTAATGATTGCAAAACTGCTATGCATTCAAAAGAAGCTATGAAAAGAATAAGCAGACAAGGAACATAGTGACTTGCTAGATAACAATATGGAGTATAGCCTTGAAAGAAACTGGACGGAGCTGTTAACTTCAAGGATTCTGCTTCCAAAGATTTGCAAACCACATATGGTCACAACTGGAATTACTGGGACAAATTACTGCAGGCAATTAATTTGTCCTGATTACTCAGGAATGTAGGGAGGCATGTAGGGAATGTAGGGAGGGAACAGAGATACCAGGGGCTGTGCAGGTAAGTGTAACAGGGCAAAAGCTGATATAGAAACAATCTAGAGGCAAAGTCTATAGCAATTTACTGCTTCTAGGATCCGCATGTGAAAGACGGGTGCACTAGATATGCACGTTGTTTATTTTACTGTCTAAGAAAAGTTTCCTTTAAAATGTTTTTATTCTAAAAAAATGATACTTTGTTTTAAGGAGGCTGCTTGGTCGCTGATTACTTCAGTCAGCCCCAAAAGGAACAGAATGGCTGTCTGGGCATATATCAGACTTGCTGATGTAAAACAGGGGTGATATGCAGGGGATTGTAATCCAAGGCCTGGTACGAAAAGAATCAAAACGGGTGAACTCAGGAAGACCAGAAAGGGACAGAGCTAGTGTTGGCCCCAGAATTGTGGCAATGAATATACAACACAGATAGGAAAACTAGAGGAATCATTTTTCAGTCAGAGGAAATGAGTGAAATGTCATATATGGTTGAATTGCAATGGCAAAACAGTAGCCCTAAACCCATTCTTATCTGTCTTTGAGTTGATGAGTTATCCAGTCCGGAATAGTTTTTCGGATATATCAGTTTCACAGGTTTTTATGGCCAGAAAAAAAAATCATGTAAGGTGATCTCCCATATAAGAGAAACCATTGAATTTCATCAGTAAGCCCTGTAAAGGGGGAGGCGAGTGAGTGTTATAAAACTCAGTCATTTGTACCTCTAACTCAGGTCTTGTAATTGAGGACTACAGGTGATGTATAGCTAAGAAACACAAAGGAGTGTGAATGACTCGGAAAAAATGACAGGGAAGAAACTGAGCATTCATACTTTTCAGCAATGTTATAGAAGGTACATTCTTCTCCAGGACATTACCCTGAGCTGGAAAGCCCTGGCTATGTAACTTCTTAGCTAATGTGGTAGCCACAAGCCGGTTATAACCCTTTCTTCGGTGCTCCAGAAGGGTATAACCATGAATCATGGTGGCAAACTGGTCAGTTAGACCCCAAGAGATGGGCTGTCCATTGTCATCCAAGACACAGATGCTGGGGAAGCAGCAAATGAGGTTAGCAAGGTACCTCCGGCATTGCTCAGTGCCTCCCCGTGACCAGGTTTCGCTGAGCAGGCTGGCATGGGAGATATCCAGATAAGCCAGTCTCGGTGCTGGGTCCATCCTGGGAAAAGTACAGGAAAGCAATTGGACACATTATTGGAAAAAATGGGGCATCAGTAGCATCTGAGCATGGGAGTTAAGCCTCTGAATCAGAACTTCCTAGACCTTAAATGCTGGAGGCTGCTAATGAGAGGAACTGGGGGAAAGCCCTGGTCATAACCAGTTCAGTCTCCCTTTCAGCATCCATCCCACAACTGAGAGACACAGGATAAGGACAAGATGGACCTGTGGTCTGAATCAGCAAAAGGCAGTTATATTATTCTGTTACTTAAAGGCATTAGGAAATTATAAACCTACAGTTCTGAGAGCAAGGGGAATTTAAAACCATTGTTCTCAATATGAATGGGTTTTCCATTCCACTGCACAAAAAAAAAAAAAAAAGCAGAATAAAAGAAGATTGGGTAGGCTAGGCTAGCTGCTTGAGAGAAATAGTACCATTGTTACTGAAGAAGTCCAGTTTTTATCTACCCAATGGCCAAGTAAGGATTATGCTTGAGCCCCCAAGTGCAATCTAGTAGTCAATGCACAGGTTTTAAATGTCCTTCAGGCATGATTTTAATTACAGCATTTTCAGTACAAAAAATGTTTGTTGGACTGCACCAATCCAGAACCTGGTAGAGGGAGCTGGAGATGTGTCTGAATTAAACTTTAATCATAGCGGACACATAGCAACATGCTTTACGGTCTCTTAAAGCCAAATGTATACAATTCTCTATTCTCTTTCCCGCCATGCCTTGGATGCAGGGGAAAGCTTTGGGAGTGCTCAGTGAATTCTGAATCCACTACTGAGAAATTACATCTAGGAAAAAGAAAGCCTTTGTTTCTTATGAACACTGCAAAATGGTGCTGTCTCACAGACATCCAACCTGTGGAGGGACCATGAGAAAAGATAGGCTCCAAAGCGGTGTTGGAAGGTCCCTGCCCGTGGAAAAATACATCTATTTCTTAATATTAGGGCATCAATAAAAAAGGGAAAGATGAAAAGAGAACAGGCTTCTGGAACTCATGCATGTGACAAGGGAAAAGAAAGAGGGAAGATATTTATTCTGGAAGATAAAATAGCAGAAGAGTGATATAGGTCAATAAAAAGATGGATAAGAAAATGGAACTTTTACACCTCCAGCCCTCCATTGTATCAGTTTTCATGTAGCATTTGGTTTAATGACCTAGTAGTCTGCATATTACTATTTCAATAGCAGCATGGAAGGATGCAATTAGACATACTGAAGTCTGACGTCCGGCAGTGTGTCAGGGTCTAGGTGGATAACCATCTGGAAGGAGGATACTTTCACATCAACCTGCTTAGACCTAGCAACAGCTATGGATGTTTCATATATTCCTGCCTGGAGCCCTGTGTGTACAAAGAGAAATATGGAAAATCAAGGCTTGGATTCATTGGTTCATCTGACGTCTTTAAAGGTCTCGGTGTTATTCAAAATGTCCACCCCCTTCTACACCTTCTTCTTGACTTCATGGATGTCAAGGCCAAAAAAGGGCCATCACAGCATCTATATAGGATTTTCTGCCCAGCATATGTCAGACCCTCACACAGTAATTTTATCTCTAGCTCTTGCCTCCTATTGAGTTATAATATGATTTTAGAAAGACATCGAGTCATGACTGTAAGATTTAAATGGGCAGAGTATCCACCTGACCCCTAGCTAAGTTAAACATATGCACATCATGTCTCCTCTGAACTTGTCGAGCTTCAGCTTCCAACCCCCGGGTCTCATTATGTCTTTATTTACTGGATTAAAGAGCCATCTACTACTGTCATGTGACTTGTTAGTTAGCCAAACATTCTCTAGGGATCTGTGGCTTTAACTGAGAACAGACTATGAAAAAAATGAACATCTTGTGAAACAAGGATTTGGACCCATATAACTGAAGGCAGAATTTGACCAAATGACAGAGAAACCTACAGGAGGCATGAAATGCAAAAGCCAGAAAGGTTGTGCCTGACTCACTTCTTTCCTGCATCCTGCGTTTCACATCTTTACAAGGAATCCTTATCCAAAATGCAGTGGCATGGTCTATTTTCCCCTAGAATGTTTTACATCAGTTTATACCCTGTAGCTGAAAGATCTGTCCCCAGTTGATGGTGTCTCTCTCTTCTAGTAGCTCCCGGTAAGCCTGTAGGTCTTTGTAGAAAACTGCATATGCATTGGTGTAATGGTCACAGTCATCCACCTCCTTCTCGATAGAAGAATAAATTAAATTGCTAAGAAACATTCTTCCTTTACCCCTTATCTAATAAATCAAAGCTCAGAGACATCCCAATCAAAGATCCAATAATCAGATCTTCAAGGCTTCTCGAATTAGAACATTCTTTTGGGGTATTTTTATGGTGGAAAGTAGTTAAGTAATTCCACAGTGAATGTCAAAATCAGGTAGAAAAACAGATATTCATTGTTATTCATATCCCTGCAACAGCTTATAGTTGTGTAGGACGAAAGACCTCACCTTTCCAAGCTAACCACCTACCCTGAGCCCAGTGGCAGCTTCTTAAGGCTCCTGGATATTGGGTGCATTTTCCTGCCAGCTGCTTCTGGTCCCTTTGTCTGTCTTGTAGAGATGAGCCTAAACCAGCCCTGGAAGAGCCCACTGATGTTACTGGGCATCACAGGATTAACTTAACCTGCTACATTTATCTCTGCAAGTCCCACTAATGAGAAACATGTGGGTTCCCAGGACTGAGCCAAGGACATGTCTACAGCACAGAGTTACCATGGTAGGAGGGAGCATGCTCAGAACACACTGTGCTACTGATAGGTGGCAGAAAGGGGGAGCTAACAGGGATTAGCCCCCCCAAATGCGGGGCAGCGGTATGGCCCCGCAGGCTTCCGGCGGCTGCAGGAGACACGGGGAGGGGTACGCACACGGCAATGAGGGAGGGAGTGGGGCTCCAGGCACTGCACAGCCAGGGTGGGGTGAGGCAGGGCATGAGACACGGCTATGAGCTGTGGGGGCACAGCCCCATGGGGCATGGGGGGCATGGCCCTGCTGCTACATGTACCCCGGGAAGTATTGGAGCATGTGCCCCCAGATCTTCACAGGGAAGGGCAGGCTACCACTGCAGGCTGGGGCTGGGTTGCACTGGATTCTTCCCAGTGGGGGGTGGAAGGGGGGACTGGGCTAGGCTGTGCTTGGGGCAGGCAGCAGTGACCCTGGGAGGGGGGCTATGGCTGGAGGAGGCTGCAGCCACCCCAAATTCACCATAGCCCCCCAAGCCCCCCTCCCAGCACTGCCGCTGCCTGCCCCAAGTGCAGCATTGCCCAACCCACCACTGGGAAGAGCCCGGCACAGCCCCGGCCCCAGCCCACAGTGGCAGCCTGCCCTGCCCCATGCACAGGTCCAGGGCACATGCCCTCCCAGGGTGCGTGCAGCAGCAGGAGCCGCCACCGCCTCCCCACGTCCCCACAGCTCGCAGCTTTATCCCATGCCCTGCCCTGGCTGTGCAGGGCCTGCCCCAACCCCACTCCCTCCCACCCCTTCCCCCAGACTTACCTGCTGCAGGGGCATGTGTACGCATACATGCGCATGATCAGCCCCCCCAAATAATTTTGTCTCCCTACACCTATGGTGCTGCTGCATACCAGCCACTCTCCTGAACCAGAACCAGTGTAGTCATTTTCACAAAACTGCAGGTGAGCTAATTTACACAACTTCAGGTTCAAGTAGCAACACACACCGAGCATTGTTGCATGCTGAAGCATGCTGCTGACTGCCATGGTAAGCTTGTGGTGTAGCCATACTCCACCAAGTGTTAGAGAGTGCAGGTTTTGCTCTGTACTTCTTCCTCAGGGTGTATGCCCACCCAAATCTTCCAAGATGCTAATAGAAGAGACAGTCACAACAAGATCCACACCTTGTAAGCTTCTCTGGAACTTGGACTAAAACCAGTTGGATCTACCTCCCTCTGTCGCCGGGTAATGACAGCTTTGAAATCTGGCCATGAATCCACCACGACTTCCTTCCTGAAGGGATTCCCTCGGTTTATGTTCATCACAGCTCCATAAACCTGCCAGATAAAAGCCAAAGATAAAGGAACCAGTTTGAGGCTTGCCCTTGGACACCCAGCACATACAGCCATACAGAGTGACAGAAGACGACGCTGAAAAAAACCCTAGGCTGCACCCAGATGTGCAGGCATGTCCAATTTGTGGTGCCACACTTGCATGCAAACTTGCATGCATGCTGACTACTGGGTTACACTACTATCAGATGATAGCTTCCCTGACTAGCATAACTAGTCCTACGCTAGTTGTGGGGGAGGTCCTGTTCTTAAGGAATGTGAATTTGGGTTTCTAAAAGTTACCAGATGGACAACTCCGGAGACTGAAACTTTACATTCTGTGTGGCACCACAAGCAGCACACCTGGAATGTTAAAACGTGCCCTGCATTGCAATATTGCAGCAGAGGGGCAAATTTTCTACTGGGAAATCCCAGTAGAAAAAACAAATGCCACAAAAAAACTGGCATGTGTACACTACTCTCACGTGCACCAGCAGACACAGAGGTCCTCCTGCGAGATGCTGTGGCCAAAACATCTCCACTCCCTTAGTTGTCCCCTGGCTCCTCCAGCATGCCTGGAGGCAGGAGGAGTGGGGAAAGGGCAATTTCCCCAAAGCAGGGCAATTTGCCCCACACCAAAGCGCACGTGCAAGGGCATACACTGCAGCACAAATCTGTGCTGCTGCTATTTTTGCCACTGCAAGTGCACACCCCTGCATGTGAGGATGCACCCGTATTCTCTGTTGATCAGCCACAAAAAGGAAATGCCCAAACTATACACACTAACCACTGGGTTATACCCAGTGCTATCGGATGATAGCTTCCCTGACTAGCATAACTAGTCCTATGCTAGTTGTGAGGGAGGGGAGGTCCTGTTCTTAAGGAATGTGACTTTGGGATTCTAAAAGTTACCAGATGGACAACCCTGGAGACTGCAACATGATACTCACCCCCAGGACAAAAACTGTATAACGCCCAGAGGGGTGGTTAGCCATCTTCGCCTTAAGTCAGGCAAAAGGCAGACCAGGCTGGCACCTTAGGGCATGTCCAGATGAGCGCACACATGCATTTCCCTGGGGACAAACAGCAGTGGCACATAGTTGTACTGCTGTTACATTTCCCTGGGGAATGCCAATGCAGACATGCTCTGGCGCCCAGCAAGTTACCCTGGGTGGGGTATGGGAGGCTGGAGCCAGCACCTGAGCTGGTCTCTGCAGCCTTACCTGAGGTCCTGGGGGCATACTGCAGCTCCAGCAGTGGTGACCCAGGCACATGGAGCCTGGCTGGCAGCCAGAGCGTGGCTCTGGCCAGCCAGGCTCTGGTTTTGGGTGGCATATGCTGCTGCCATGTGCGCTGCCTTGCTTTTTTTTTTTTTGGGGAGGGGGTGTTTACACCAGGATGTCCTAGCATAAAAAAACCCCACTGTGCTGCAAATTAACAGTGTAGCGAATAACTGCATGTGCAGCCCGTGTGGTTTCCAATGCTTGTCTGGACACACCCTTACTAACTCATTCATAGATCCTAAGTTTTTATGGGTAATGTCCTGCTTTGTCAGATGCTATAAATGCACTTGCAGAGAGCAGGGGTACTATATAGAAAGGAATAAAATCATTTAAATACAAGGAGAGGGGGAGGAAAGGGAGAGGGCCCTGCTGAGCGAGGAGAAGATAAGTTGAAGAAATCAAAAGTAGTAAACAAAGCAATTCATCCATTGACAGTCATAGGGGTTATAAAAAATAGTCCAGGTCATGTGAATTTGAGCTCTTAATCCAGACATAAGAGTTATAAAAAATAGTCTAGGTAATGGGATAAGAATCTAGAGCAGTGTTTCCCAAACTTTTCTTCAGCATGACCCCATTTATGGCCCCATTTCCTCACCATGACCCCATTTCCTCAGCATGGCACCTCACTCCCAACCCACAGCTCCACTCCCACAACCCCATCTGCTGATGGTGTGACCCACAGTTTGGGAACCACTGATCTAGAGTCTCTTTTGAGAACATAATTAACATGACCCAGTCTGTGGATGATTTCTTGTTCCACAATTTCCTATTCGGGATGGAGTTTAGACATAGGTGACGCATGCCTCCTGAGGCAAGGGGGGTGCACAGCAATGGCAGACCAAGTAAGGACTGCCTGCAGGTGGCCACGGTGGTGTCAGTGGTGGTGGGGGGTGTCCCCCAACAGCCAATCGGCCAATGGCATGCCAGAAGTGCCAGTAGCACTTCTTCGGGGGGTGCACCAGCACTCTGCCTGCCCCCCTACCCATCATTTTAGCCAAGAGTGCTCGCTTTCAGGGGGGCACCAGTGCTCTCAGGGGGTGCACATGCACCCCCTCTGAATGCTCTATGTGTCACCTATGGTTTTAGAAGTTTTGTTGTTTAAGAACAGCTACTGTGAGGTCAGTGAAGGACTTTCGGGGGAGGTTAAAATGAACGCCGTGTGCCCCTGGAGGCTGGGAGGGCATGGCAACCGCCCACAGGCAGCGGCGATGGTGGTAATGATGGGGGCATGCCAGTGGTGACCTCCTGCAGTCAACCATGGCAGTGTCAGCAGCAGGGGTCGACCCACCAGGGAGCTTGCACAGGCAGCCACAGTGGTCTCAGCAGCAGGTGCGGGGGGCCGTGGCAAGCACCAAGCAGAGGTCGGTGACCACCCACAGATGCCACCAGCAGTGGCAATGGTGGCCTGTGGCGATGGTTATTGCCTGCAGACACCGCCAGCCATGTTAGCAGCGAGGGGCTGGGGGTGGCGAGCTGCAGGGGTGCATCACCAAGCTCAGGGGGTGCACGTGCACCCCCTATGCATCGCCAATGGAGGTTAAAGTGTTCAGCCACTGGATTTTGTATCTTTCTGGATTTGATGCCAAATCAGTATAGAAGGAGCAGTAATTGCAAAGAAGTTTCACCCTACCCTGCTTCCATCTTGCATAACGTTCTGATTCCCCAAATGAAATGGCACAGAAAAGGTGCAGATTAGATCTGTGTTACCTTCAGGGACTCAGGGAAGCTCCCCATTAATATTTTTTCTAATAGCTGTAGCTTTGTGGAACATTTCAGTACTGGCATCTTTCCAAAAGCATTTAGCAGAAGCCTGGGTAGAAACAGATATAAAACAGCACAGTGTAGCCAGCTGTCATTACAACAACATGCGGGGAGAGGCTGACTAAAGCAGATAATTGCACACTCTGTAATAGATAATTGCTCTGGAAATACCTGATAATCACCTACTGCAGCGTTTTTGTACGAAGTGTATTTTGGGACTCAAATTTCTTTGTCAATAGAGTGGATTTAGTGCTACATTTGAGAAGGAAGAATGCCTAGTGGTTAGAGCTGTTGACCCCCCCCCCCCCC